TCCTTCTTGTTTACCATACATATGTATGTAATTATACAAGCGTTTGCCCGGCGCAAGTAAGAGTGAAAATGTGTGTTTAGCGAGAAATCGGCGTTAAATTGTTGCAGGAAATGGACAAAGAATGGCGGACCAGTTCGGCGCGAAAGTCTTTTGTTTAATATACTTGTTCTCTGTGAGCACTCATATGCAAATTTTATATATACATACAACCGAGTTTCTACACCTGGGAAAATAGCAGTAGCAAGAACGTAATTCTTGAGAAATTTCTATGAGTGCAAACCAAAAATGATGTGAAAATAAAGAGCTTTTAATTATCGGTTGAAAATAATTGCGAAAAATTATACATTTTCCTCATATACTCTATTCCGTCAAAGCGTTTAAAAGACCGCGTTCATTCTGTATATGACAAGATATATTGAAAGATTTGCTTCACAGAAATCATTTACTTCCTGGCATTTAAGACATTTAATTAGTTCAAGCAACGAAACACATTATATAACAATGTGTTATTGTTTCTAAATTTTTAGACCATTTTTTATGATAAGAACTTTTTAAAGGGTAGTACGAGGACATACAAACATTGGTGTCTTTGAAATTAAGTCAACACGTCAATTTTATTATATGGAATACTATTGTGATTTGAATTTGCGCTTGAAATATTAAAGAATTGCGCGCATGACTTCAGGCTGCCGAAAACATAGTTAGTGAACTTGGTGCGTTAGTTGACCCACCTTGAATGGGGTTAATTTTATTGTGCTAAAATTAAAGAATATACTAGTGCATGCCCTCAATTTAGATTCTTAAACCGACCAAAATGGAATTTCACACAAAATGTTTAACGAGAAATGGTTCGTCGTTCCAAAGTTCGCACCAAATTGCCGCTTTCTGATGCGCTGGCTACTCGGGCTGTATGGAAAGTCCAAGTTTTATGTTTAAATCAAGCATTGCTCCGCCTAAGATACCAGTCTTAAGATCTATGCACTAAGTTGCGGAATATAGTTGGAATGACAGTCACCATCATAAGGCTTAAATTTAACTTAACTTAAGCCCTTAACAAGAGATTTGAGATATTTTATAACGCAGATGTGATCAGCATAGTTTAAATATTTTTAGTAGTTAGACGCTGTCACACTGTGATATTAATATTAATCATTTGTTGCTTTTGTTGCAGCAGAATATAGCGCAAACGATCAATTTTCGGTTGAACGTACGTGGAATTCTCTTAACGAGAAAATCGCTTAATCATAAATTACACTTCAAAGCCAAGAAAACCCAAAACAAAGCTCTACAACATATCACGATGTTAATATTAGTAAAAAATTCCAACAACACTTAAGAGGCTCCGAAATTTATTAATAACATGACTGACCCTAATCCTATCTCATACTTCCTATTATCGATAACTTGTTTTTCTTTTGAACTTCAGTTTTTAGCAGCACTTAAGAATTAATTAATGATTGTAACCTAAATCTTAAGTGGATACAACAACACTTGCGAGGTGCGCACTCAGTTAACTTACAAGAAAATTACATTTCTTCACTAAGTCAAGCAGCTGGCTAAGCGCTCTGGGCAGGCGTGTGCAACGGAGATCTCAATTAGGCTGCCAGTTCCGTCGAATAAAGAAAATTAAAATTGTAAAATGAAGCGAAACGGATAACGGGAAACGGAACAGATGGGCAACGAACAACTCAAACTGCCATGAAAAAGGTAAAGCGTGATTTACTCTCGTTGCGGTTGGGACTTGTTGCAAATTTGCAGACTCTTTTACACATCTACCGATACCTTTACCGCGACTCAAGAGGTAAGCGAGTTAGACGATGTATATATACATATGTTGAGCGCCAACAAATGTCCTCAGAGCATTGAGTTATCCTAAACGCTATTACAATCGTGCATTTGAGCATTTATTGCTCGGATACATTTGTAAAACATAACACCTATGCCCCACATCCTCGTGGGTTCGTATGTAATCGTTCAGTAATGCACGCTTGCATAGTCAATATATGCTTATATGCATATGCTTGATTGTATATAATATTGAATGTTGCCACACGAAACCGCAGAGTCAAGAAAACGTGCTGCAACTATAAGCAGCTGTAGCAACAGCACCAACAACTGTGAATTGCAACAAAAACCTTTGATTGTAGATAAAGAAGGCAAACGGTAGTGATGACACGCGAGAACGTGAGGGTCTTGACAGAATTCCGTAATGCTTATTATAGCAACTCGCTCCCAGCAGGAAAGGACTGCGCTAAATTTATTCTTCGAAGCTTCATACTTTTTAAATATAGTGTCTAAAATGGTTCAAGTAATGTTAGTTCAGCTGCTTCATCTAAATATCACTACTCATCACTACTACAATAATAAAAACCACACCATATTGCAGCGGCAGCAACTGCATACCACTTATTAACTTGGTTTAAGGTGCTGCGTCTGCACGTTGAATCCATTTCGGTTTTTTGATTGTGGAATTTTGCTTAAAAGAAAGTAAAATGGTTTTATAGAGCACACAAATGGCGCCGCAAACTGCTACTTAGCTCAACTGACCTTCAAGCAGATTGAAATAAATGCAATCAATGACAAAGTGGCATGCACAGAGTGGACCTTCATTGACCCCTTCCTAAGATGCTGCAGTAACATCAGAAAGCAATGCAATCGGCCATTAACTCTCCAATGGCCAACTGACCAAAATCATAGCGGGATCAACAGAATGAGCTCAGCTGCAGCTGTAGCAACTCTCAGTTAAATGTGCGTTTGCATTTTGTGGAATAATTTGGCATTAGCATGGAAAAGGTCAAGCGCCAGTCGCACAAGGGTCAAGTGTCAAAAGCGTGCGTCACAAATTCTGCTGCTTATGCTTCTGTTACTGCTGCCTCTAACTTGTGGCAATGCAATTATATACTTTTTGTGTTGTGACTTAGTCTTTGCCGCACAGCTGCCGCAATTTTCATTCATCGCATTGTACTTAGGTAGCGACAGCGAAGCCATCACTTACATATTTGTTGTCCATTATGCCGAGTGACGGCAGCGAATTGGGTTAATACACTCGCGTTTAGTCGCATCGCGTGTCGGGTGTAGAGTGTCGAGAACGAGTTCGTGCCGAGCGCGCTTAGAATGACTAGCGTGATTGAGTTTACGTTCGAAGGAAGAACAGCTGCTGTTGCAACAACACCAACAATAATGATGTTGGCAATGATTGTAGGAGCGACCAGCAAAAGCTTTGCCGTTTTCACTTTTCGCATTGGATTCACTTGGTTCGTCGATACAAACTATTTCACTGACGTCGGTGTGTTGCGTGGAGTGTTTGGGGGAATTAACTTGTCTGCAACGAGCGCACTGCACGTACGCTGGCTCAATGGCCTGTTTGTTGCAAGTATTTGACGTTTATTTGATTTGTTGTCAATGCGTTCGGTGCCGTGATTATGGCTGATGCTTGACAGTTGCTGTTTGTTGGCTTTCGCACCACTGTTGCCAACTCAAAGCATCTGCCTCCATGTTACGATACTAGCCTCTCGTAGACGATGTACTGTGAGCACTTGTCTCTGTAGCCGTAAGCATTTTGTCAATTCGTTACCCTTTGCTCAAGCTTCTAAGATTTGCCGCAAATAAACACGGCCACTGAAATTCAAATATTTGTAAATGTTCTATTTACTATTTTGAACTTATTCACCTGTGGAATTTTTATAATACTGAAATGGAAGTAAAAAAAAAAAATATATAAATGAGAACTCATTGCGTTCTTCAGTGCTATACACGCGCTTATTTCAAGTTCAAGTATACTTTCCGTTAACTGGCCTAAACAGAGTTAACCTTTGAGTCAGCTCATTTTTTTGAATAAATTAATTGCAATTCAATGAAACCTTTGGCTAATATTTTCAAAGCTACCTGTTCTGAAATATTTCCGAACACTAAAAATTTTCCCGCTGATCGTCAAGGAAACACCAACAAAGGCAGTGGCTTCAAATTTAATGAGCTGCATAGCACTTGGATTGCTCTGGTCATGCTCCTGCGGGAGTAATTAAAATGTTTGGATTACTATGCAGCCGAAGCATTGAAGTAACCGCAAAAGACACCTTCACATATACATGTAGAGACAATGCCACACAACCACGAAAACCAAAAGCGCTCCAACGCAAAATCCCACTGCCCCACAGCCAACGGCGAATAACAGCACTCAAAGTCAAGCAGTGATGCGACTTTGTTCTTGTGCGAATGCGTTGCAGCACCGTTGGGAATATTTATTCATGTGGCATAAGCGTATATATGTGTATATGTACATATGTAAGTATGTGTTTATAGAATAACAAATAAGAACAACGGCAACAGCTACAACAAGAGAGATAACGAAGAAGCAGAATGCAAAGAGGCAGAATGGCAGTCAGCATCCGTTTACGAGTGTACGCGATGTTCAAGCTGCCAGAACATGAGCTTGGATGGTGCGGCATCTTTCCGCCAAACCCGTACTAGTGGTGTGCGGCGAAGGGGCGCCGGTGTGTTGAGGCGGCAGAGTCGTTACAGTAGAGGCAAGTTTACCATAACTAGCACACCTACATATGCACTGCAAGCTATTGCTACAAAGTAAGGGGGGACTTCTGCAGACACATTTATTGCAGTTGTCGTTACCGTTGCTCAGGAACGATTCTTGACTGCAGTTACTTTCGCATACAAACAATAACAACAAGAGTGACAACTAGTTGTAGCAAACAGAGTAAATCCATGCATTTGCACTCAGAAATTTGAGTGTCTGTGTGTGTGTTTGTAAATGTGAGTTACGGCAGTTGAATAGACACAAAATGACGAAAAATTACAAATATTCTCTCAGATTCCTAAATATGCTGTTACGTTTTTTAATGAATTAAGGTTTTAGTAGGTTTATTATTTTTCTAGTTCTGCTGCAAAATTCCGTATTTCAATAATTTACAAGCACTAATGCTCTCCGAACGTCAACGAGCCGTCATTTTAATAACAGTTATTACCTTATTCTCGTTTTATAATTATAGAGATCCGAAGTGTTTCGGGTGAGCCCAATTACAAATCCGTTAATCTAACCTGGGAGATTGAATTCGTGCCCTCCGCCGATTCGTCAACACCGACAACCGATATTGATGCTATCACCAACAGCAGCGCCGAGGTGGAACCGCCGAAAGCGTTTCAGATTTTCTTTTGTGAATTACAGTCATTTGGACCGCATCGTTGTCGCTCCAAATTAGTGAACGAAACGCAACAGCTGGAACCAAACGGTAACGACGACAACAGTCACAGCAACAATCATAAAGTCAGCAACAAGAACAATAATGTGGAAGACGAACAGGCGAAAAGCAGGTGAGTGTTAACTATTCTAATATCACATCAACTGGGTCACTGATAAAATCAGCACAACAAAGCAGAATAGAATAATGCTAACTCTTAGACTTAGATAGCGCGTTTTGACGCTTTTGCGTTTTTTCTTCAACCAATATCATAATGCATTTATCAATATTTCTATAATCAGCCGGCAGATACGTCATTACGTGGTGCAAATCGAAAATCTCCGCATGGCCACCAAATACAGCTTCCACATCCGACCGCAGGCGAAGCGCAGAAATATGAAAATCACTGGACGCTCAGAGCTTTTCGGCAACGAAATCGACGACGAAGCGAAGGGTGTGCCACTTGATGGCGGTCAAACTATCATTATACCAACGAAAGGATGTAAGCATTGATTAGCTAATTTGAAGCGCAGATGAAGTGGAAAATTATAGAGATTTCATAAACAAGTAAAATGCTTTCCTTTCGCTGACGTTCTTTCCACTTTTTCAGTTGCTGCACAAGCTACAAAGTGCTTGCCACAAGCCTCTGAAATCGAAGTGGAAACCGGTCCATACTTTGGTGGGAAGATTGTTGTAGATGGCGGCAACTGTGGTATAAAGGGTGATCAGAATGATCCCACCGATCGTTATACGATGCGAATTGATCACAAAATGTGCGGCAGTTTGGTGAAACCGGAAACAAATACGGTTGAAACGTTTATAACGGTACAAGAGAAGTTGGGCATCTATACACACAGCACACGAAGGTAAATACAAGTACATAACAATGACGATCTATTAAACACCCCGAAAGAATAAAAACCTAACTAAAAACGCTTTATGAAATATTCTCTAAAACATTTAAAAATACCAATTCGAAGCAATCTTAAGAAACGTTATTCAACTCGTAAAATAATAAATATATGCATATATATAGCTTACAAGTATAACTACGAGTGCTACTCAGGTACTCAATTTTTCTGTCGTCTCTTAAATTTTGTTTCGCAGGTTCGTCGTGGTTTGTAGCTTCCAATCGGGCATGCAGACAGTGCGTGCCAGTTTTACAGTACCCGGCAGCGACGGCGTAGCCGCCGCCGTCGAAAATGATCCTTTCGAGCCAGACGATCGCCTGGGCCGAGAACAGCGCCATATGCGCTTTGTGGATAAGAGTGCCTTAGTTTTGAAGGAGCATGCACCCCTGGAACCTATAGCGCCCGCAGCGCGCACGCAAAGTTTGGAATCTGACGAAAGCATCGCATTGGTCCAAGAGGTAACCGATGCCGCCAACAGCAGCTCTGAGAGTAGCGTAGCTAACGAACTGCTGACTGTCGACAACACTGATGTGCCGAACAGTGTAGCCATGTTAGAGGATATTGTGCCCGGCATTAATGAGCAGCATATCAAGCACGAAAATGCAATGCTGAAGCTACAGGAAATTGACGAACAGCATGAGGATGATGGCGCTCCTAAAGTGCCGGTGATGGCGGCACGTGCGGCCAAGTACGCCAAATTGGTGCGCGAACAGGCGGTCGCCAATCTGCTGGCAGATGAGACGAACACCAGCGCAACAATGAGTGTGGAACAGTGGTATCACTTGCACAATACAGTCGAGGGAAGAGGTGAGTGCTTATTGTTTCTACGTAGATTAATGAACTATATAGTTTCGATTTATTTACAAAGTGGAGTAATCACAATTTTACTCAATATATTTTGTGTTTGTTACCTTCGGCTCGTCTCAGGTTTTGCCACCACTTTGGAGCGCATTTCAGCGAACGCCGGCAGCATTATCATCACTGTTTCGCTGTGTGTGATAGTTTTGGGCATTTTCGTGTTTGTCGTGTTTCGTGAAGCGCGTCGTCAGCGTTTCATTCGCAGCAATATTAAAATGCAGCAGCTGCACTCGTCACGCGCTTCATCGTCAACGTCGCTGTCAGCCAGTAAGCCCCAGCCAGGGAAGCGAACAATGCCACGTGCTCTACAGGCTCAGCTTCCTCAGGGGTCCATGTAGAAGTACTAGGGTGGATCTTTCAACTTTACAGCAATTTTAATAAAGACCGGAGTAGAAAGTTTGCAAATAGTACCATAGTTCTAAACGAGATTAAATTAGTTGAATAGCGTATAGGTAAAGAATATATTTTATAGATATATATATATGATATATCTACAGAAGTATGAATTAGACAAGTAGGAAGTTGCACACGCACACGTGAAACCGATTACCTAACTCCAGCTATGGTCATTCGTCTTGTTAAATATCAAAATAGCCACGTTATAGAGCTCTTTCGAGTGACTAATAATACCGTTGCTGATTTAACTCAAGGTGACTGAGCATAGACTCTCAAACTTAAATTTAAAAAAATATATATATCAAAAATGTGTAATATCCAAAAGTATCTTTAGCTAGTGAACACTTTTCAAAGTAGATATTTTATTGTAATACTCAATATTTTTATTTCGAACTCTACTACATAACATTATATAGAATCTTACATAAAAATCATTTGAATTGAAACTATAATGAGTAATAGTTATAAGCGCTGATTGAAGTAAACTCGAAATAAGCGCTTGATATTTTACAGTTATTTAAGCTAAATATATTTAAATAAAAATTAATTTCTAGTTTCTTAGCTATTTTATTGTCAATGACTAAATGAATAAAACGCACTAGACTTTAGTATTTCTTTTCGACTTAAATCACTTATAAGGTTAGAAAATAAGTAAAATAAAACAATAATTTTATTCTTTTCTTCATAAGTTACGCTAAGCACACATTTTATATACACGTATATAAGAATAAAAAATGTATAAATTATTAAATAAATAAATCACCACCACAAACAAATGTGCTTGATTTGCTCTGATTTATATTTTCTTCACGCCACATATGCTCCATTGTTGTTTACTCATTTAGTATTTATTCCATCGCGTAGACGAAATAAGAAGTGAATTGTGTCACCATTAAGGCCACTATGGCGGCGTATTTGAGTGAGAAAGTTCATTTTCTAGGCCAACTGCGCTTCTTGACCCTTAAAACGCGCGCTGCAATTCAATGCGCTTTGATGCTCTTGAATTACACGCGCGCATGCGCAGCATCCCGCCATCGCTGCCTAACCGCCTAACCCACTCAAGCGCCTATTGCTCGTTAGTTTGGTTGCTTGTGACGTCAAAGGCCACGCAGCTGTGCATACGTAAGTAGGTGAGTCGGCCGCTGCCACTCATAGGCTTCATCGGCAGCTTCAGTTTGGCCGACGCGACCCACCAACCGACAACCGCAACGAGAATCGAGGGCGAGCCAGAATCGTGACTCGAGCAACTGAGCGTTCACCGCCAGCTGATTGCTGAAAGCCAACCAATATTCTACTTGTTCACTCGCTTAGTTATCATTCTAGGGGCGTTGGCCCCCCCATTTGAATTTAGACTAAGATCTGCACGTTTCGGCATTAATTTGAGTGTGACGAGCAAGTACTTAACTCTTAGCGAAAGCTATTTCAATGCGGCAGAACAGCAACGGAGTTCATAAATATGTCCAAGTGTCGACGGCGATCAGCGACAAGCGAATTTATGCATCATTCCAGACAAAAGGAAGAAATATAAGAAAAGTATTTCGCTGACAGTTATTCTTTGTGGTCAATTTGAGACGCGGAGACCAGGTATGCAGCCATAGATTTATGACAATCTACGACAAATGCATAAATATTGTATTTTTCACCGCCTTCGCCGCCTGCCCCAGTGCACTTGCCCCCCATGGTTTGTCCGCAGTCCAAACAATTGTTGCCTAATTAACGTAGTGTTCATAATTTATTGCAAACAGCGCCACAGCTTCGCCAACAACAACACTTTATCAAAGCCGTAAATCAGCAAATATTCACAAACAACAACAACAAAGGCAACTGTTTGGTATTTTTATGAAATTGCAGCGCGAATCGAAATGTGTTGAAGAAAAACGGAAAATTCTATGGCCGCAAAGCGACAAAACAATAACAACAACAACGAGAGTAGATTCAAGAAGAGAATCGGTATAATAAAAGCGGAAAGGAACGCGCCTATCTGATGGCAACAAATAGACAAAGAAAGCTTCAAATGGCCTGCCTTGACTTCATCGGCGGCGTTTTTTTGTGCTTTGACATTGTGACGCCGCCATTCGAACAGAGTTGCCAACGAAATTTTTATTGATAACAGGATTATTTCAACGAAGGAGTCTAACCGTTTTACTTTTGTTTAGAAACCTTAATACTAAGAGCTAGAATTAAGTGGTTCAGTTAGACATTTATTTAGGATAGGAAGGACAACACAAAGCTCCCTGATGTTATTCTATCAAATGCTCTTACGGAGGTTAGACCGCAAATTCATGTGTACCATAGTTGTCTGATATTTGAAATTACTAATATCCTACATTAAAAACTTAGACTATGTTACGTGCTTACTTTCGAGCAAGCCTTTATGTTTTTCATAAAATATTTGATTGTTTGCGAATTTCGTGGAATATCTTGGCACCTCGGCTGGAGAATGCTGAAGGTTAGGCAGATATTAAGCAACCTATAACGGCGCATACATACAATTAAAAAGAATGCTGTCGACAGATATCGGTGGCGCTGATGTTGCCGGTAAACCAGAAAATGGGAAAATAAGTGTGTATGTAAGCGCCAATGGAAATGCCAAACTCGCAGAGGTCAACCGCAAGTGGCATTCATACAAAGCAAAGAACAACAGCTTAGACAGTCACAACTACAACTGCAACAATTTGGCAATCGCCGCCAAGTGATGGCACGTACTTTGGCGGGAGGAAAACATGTGTATTCGCGTGTTTTCGCATGTTGTAGCAAGTACAAAGAGTTTCTTGGCTGCAAGCGATGAGCGGACAGAAGTTAAATGTAAGATGTTATAGGAAAATTAACGTAAAACATGGCGAAAATTTTATAGCAGCGAAAAGCTTATGCATCACAGTGGCAGCGCAAATAAATTATGACAAGAAGTCCAAAGGGTACAGCAAGCCACAATGTTATTTAGAATGCATATGTATGTATGTAAAACTGCATAAACATCTGCTGCCAGAATGTTAATGTGCATTGCGGCTCCATTAGTCGTGCCAGTAGCTGGAGTATGTGAATTATGCAACGCCTGAAGGAGTTAGTGTGCTCTCATATGGGGGAACACAATATATTCTTCTCAAGGCATTTGACGACCTTTGAGTGGTTGGGGAATTAGTTGAACTCCTGACACTATGTCATTCTTGGCATATGAGTAGAGGAAACTATTCTTTCATACAATCCATGCAAAACATCCTATATTACATAAACAATCAACGCAATTACTGCAGATTAAATAACATATACAACAAATTACAGCCTCTCCAAACTTTGAAGATTCGTTTAGCTTCTGACACTGATTGATGATCTTAAGCTTGTTCTTTTGCTGTCAGCAAAGCATCCATTGCTGATACCCAAATTGCTATGTACGTGGCCATCACTTCACATTACTACATCAAGCTGTGAGTAGTAAGCTGTTAGCTTCATATTACATGTGCCTCAACCGGAGCTAGAAGAGTGACTGCTGTTCCTCAGCATCGCATCCATCGTTTCTATCGTAAGTGTTTCTATGCATTTTGCTGCCCATTTCTAGTTGTAGCAAAAATATTGCCAGTAGCAAAGTGTACGATTTACTTTAATTTATTATTCACTCATTTTTAAAGTAAAGGTTTTCATTAACATAATTATACGGTAGTTTCCGTGGCAAGCGAAGGCTACAATTTATCGTACCATTATGATGAGTAGCAGCATCCTAAGATGTATGGTAAAAGCTTCTATGCACTGCTAAGTGATCGCCTTAGAGTTAAGGAGCGTGTAATTAAATGCTAAGTCGTGCTCACATTACAGAAAAAGTAAGCAGTGACAACAAAGAGTCTAGGGCTGTGGCAAAAATTGGTGAATAATCAAGAAGATGTTGAAAGTTTGAGATGTTTGAGTTCTTGAAGTTCTGGTTGCGCTTAGCCACGGTCTAATCAGAGCAACACCACAACTTGTAGTTTATTAAATTCTTATTAGCACTATAATAAATATTGGTACTCGCATTGTTTTGACAAGACATATGTACATAGTGTCCTTTTCTATTATTCAAGTATTTTGGTTGCTATGAGAATATTGAATAGTTATCTCATAAAATAATGTTAATAAGTATTCATATTTGCGGTGCTGTATTTGACTATGTGGTGTGTACAACCCTGCATATTCAGCTATATTTTTAAGCATAACCGCTTCATTCGGCAGACAGTTTCAGACTTTTTGGTGTATTTTGCTAAGAAACCCGTTTGGAGGTTCGGACATTTAGCTCTGCAAAAAATCGTATAAAAAAGACGTTTTCAAAGTAGTTGTACTAAAAGGTATTATAAAAAATATGTAAAAGCCATTCCAGGGAACTTCGAAAAAAAGACACAAAATAAATATAGCAGATTTATAGAAAGAAAACTGTAATAAAATGCACTGTTACCAATTGAAATTTCCAGTATTGAGCATGCACAGAGAAATCAACTAAAAGGCCTTATAGCCTGATATACTTCGGGCGATTACATAAAAGCCTAAAAATAAATAAATGCGGAAACAACATAAGAATTATGATTTTAGGTCTCTCTGTTTTGATTCTTAAATGCGATGCCATTGTTGACAAATTTCTGTTTTCAATACACAACATAATTTTGTAAGGCAATTCAAGCTCATCACATTTGTTAGTGTTCTTACTTGATGAGATTATTTGTTTACTTTTTTTCAAAAAAAAAAATGTTTTTTCTGTTAATTGGACGCGACAAATGGGCCAATTTTCATTTTATAACTCTCTCGCTATTCATATGATTAAGACCTCAGAGACATCAGTGTCATTGGCATTCAGACAACTAACCAGGCCATACGCCATCCGACTACTTAATGCTTACTAAAAAGCCAAGCTTAGCCAAGCACAGTGCTCATTGTAGGAGAACAGACGAAAATAGATTCTGCATTCTTCGCCTTTCGCCAATTTCCCAAGCCCAATAAAAGCGCCATCAGTACGGAATTGGGTCGAACCAAGCTATCAAAACTATGAGCTAGTGAGCTGCTCGGGCTTAATCATAGCAATGGCAGCCAACACACACACGCACACAGCTGCTTTGCAATAAAGCAGAGTTAACTTTTATGGTCTTAATTTGCTAGACGTCATATTTGTTGCATTTTTATGACACAAGCGCCCATTGTTTTTGCCGCAGTGTGGGTACATTTGCCACCAACGATTTGCTACGTTTTTGTTCTTCAGAACTTTTTCAGCCGGTTTGCACTACTGCTGCATTGTTAATTTGTTGTTTTAATGCTT